GGGCACAAACAATGATACAAGATCCGGAATTTTTTCATTACGTCTTATTTAGTGATGAAGCCACTTTTCATATATAATACTGGTCAACTTAACAGCCCAGATAGTACACGAAGTACAACGGATATCCGTTATTGATCCAGACTGTACATACAACATACTGGACATAATATAAATATACATGAATGTATATACATACAAAGGACATACTATAAACATCGATAGTACATCCATATATCGATGTAAATATACATCCATCGGCGGACATTGTATGTATGTCGTACGTACATACATCCATGTACATCCGCGAATGCGCTTTCCATGTATGTCCGCTGAATGTACCATCACGGGTATGCCATGTATATTCACCGGCGGACAATGTATGTACATTGTATGTACATATTGAAATGTCCATAAATGTGTTTTTATTTAACAAATATCAACGTATGATTTTGTTCCCAACTAATCTTCTTAAGTATTAATAATATGCCAGTAAAGGTACAAAATTAAAAATAGTTATTGTAGAAGTATATGGGTACGTTGACAATGATTTGATTACATGCGTGTGATTAGCTCAGCGTTAGTATACTAGGCTACCATTTAGGGATCCAGGGTTCGAATCTCAACGGCGATGCGTTTTCCAAATTAATTTGTAATTAATAAAATACATAAGATATATATAGAATACAAATTGAAGACAAATTGAACCAGAAAATTAATAATCACCATTTAAAAATAAAAAAAATTATTTTTTTGCTGTATTCCCATTGTATCTTCAAATTGACTCCATCAGAGGTTTATTTCATATTCATGAATATCCACTGGATATCCATGAAACTTAAATTAATATCCATTGTATCCCCATTCCCAGTAAACATTAGGACATTCTATGTATGTTCTATGTATATACATACATGGATGTTTCATGTTCTATGTACATACATGAAAAGTGAAAAGTATATAAATTACATATTCTATGTATGTGAAATAATTACCACATGTATGTTCATGGAATGTCTAGTGCATGTACACAGGTATATTTTAACATATGTTTCGAACATTTTTAAAATATACCTATGTACGTGCACTAGACATTCCATGAACATACATGTGGTAATTATTTCACATACATAGAATATGTAATTTATATACTTTTCACTTTTCATGTATGTACATAGAACATAAAACATCCATATATGTATATACATAGAACATACATAGAATGTCCTAATGTTTACTGGGAGGCACAATTGCCATTATTGGTCTGTAGAAAATCCTCATTGGCATCGTGAAGTGAATCATCAGCAACGTTGGAGTTTGATCGTATGGTGCGGTATTGTCAATGAAAATTTGATTGGACCTTATTTCTTCGACGAAAATGTAAATAATCACAACTATTTACAATTTTTAATAAATGAATTACCGAAATTGCTCGAAAATGTTGATCTACACACGAGAGTCCGCATGTGGTTTCAGCAAGATGGTGCACCTCCTCATTATGTCAGGCTAGTTCGTGACTATTTAAATATCAGATTTACGAATCAATGGATAGGACGTGGTGGATTTGTAGAGTGGAGTCCGAGGTCTCCGGATTTGTCTAATTTAGACTTTTTTTTGTGGGGCTTTCTGAAAAATATTGTCTACGCTGAAGCACCCACCACAAGACAAAATATGATGGAACGCATAACAAACGTATGTCGCAACATTCCAAGAAATGTTCTTCTTGCAACCATTAGAAGTTTTCAAAATCGCATTCAGTTATGCCTTGATAATAATGGTCAATTATTTGAACATTTAGTTAGATAAATTTGCTTATGGAGTGGACTTTAACATGAGGTTAGACATTAAATCTTGAGGTTGATAACTAGACGATACTCGACCTTGCCTTAACTGGCTGGGTGACTCCTCTATCTTGCCTTAACTGGCTGGGTGACTCCTCTATCTTGCCTTAACTGGCTGGGTGCCCCCATGTGTCCATCTTCTCATGGTGGGGGTGTTGTGGCTTACGATCCGTTCGGACTACATCAGCTCAGGTTCAACCATGCTGGCCGACAGGGAGGTCCAAATTAACGGACACAAACCGAAAAGAACTATAGAACCTCACCATGGAGCGGTGAAGGAGCACTTGAATGTAGCGGTGAAGGTCAAGGTCAAGGTCATATTCGGACGTAAAATCTTCCGCTCTTTCCACTTCCGGGTTAAAAAATAAGGGGTTCCATTTGAAAAAATTGACTTGATATTGAAATGGCCTTGAAGGTCATCGTCAAGGTCAAGGTCAAGGTCACCATAAGTTAGCCTTGTCTGTACCCTACAACTTTTGTATAAATAAATTTCCTCCAAAATGCTTACTATCCGAGATATTCCTATACATTATTTAAAATGGGACACCCTGTATATGTACTTGCATATATACCATATTGTAGTCTTTTTCTAACTGCGTGCCGAATTGTTTTTCCAGACTAAATAAACGCAATTAAAACTACTTTAGTAATCGCGAATTAAATTGACAAGCAATTTAATAAATTTATTAACAGTTTTTATATATTAACATCTTTATAATATATGATGCTTAATACATATATATTATATATTAGTAATTCAAGATTGAATTATTAAAAAGCAACGAAGATTCAGCTCCGACCGTAATAGGCAGTTAAATTTCTAGTATTAATTGAGTTTCTCAAATAAACGATCAAAAAATATAAATATATATGGACATATTTCATATATGATTATGAATTTTATTATTTTATACATGTTTATATATATAATATATGAATATTTATATACCTATGTTTATACATATTTGTACATATTCGTGCATGATAAATTTTTTGGGAAATTATATTTTATATAATATTTCAAATACTAAGATTGTGTGTGCGCGCGCGTGTGTGGTTTGCGCGCGCGCGCATGTGTGTGTGTCAATCAATCTTATTATTTAAATTACAAAATACAAAAAACTTTCAATTTTTCGATTTTAAATACAAAATATATGATACTTTCATAGCCTCCGCTTGTATAAAATAATTATACAAAATATAAAATATACTTATATTACATTTACAAATACTATGTTTTAAATAAAAGTGTGTCAAACCACCCCTGGATATAACATAATCATAATTCTAATTGCATATTATTGAATTATAATTTATCAAATCATGATTTATTTTTAGTACATTTATTTTATATGCAAATTATTACATCTCAATTATATTAAAGATCGACTGTCTCGAGGCGTATATGTGGAATACGAAAGGACAAACTTATTATTAGTATATGTGACTCCGTTGCAAACGCAATAATCTTGAGAGACGTGAATCCTATGCATCCTTGATACTCCCAATAATGCGCTTGATGCATATTGTACAAGATAAAAAAATTTGTAATTCCGCCGAAAATCGTGGTTCTGATGAGACGTTTTGTAATAATAGTAACAACGATATTTCTGATAAGTCGTTATCTTTGCAATGTGTCCCAAGAGAAAAAAACGACAAAATACCTTCCTTAAAGAAAAAACCAGTAAAATACCTTCCTCGCTCGGAAGAACAAGGCAAATTTCCACAAAACGTACACGCGTAATTGAATCCCAACAGAAAAATATGTTAATAGCGAAGAATATTTATAAGAAACAAAGGAATCAACTTATGTTGCCAGTGGAAGAGGCATTATATATGATACGTCTTATAGTAAACAAATTCCATCTCGCAAAAGAAGAAAATATTCAAATAAAAGATGCCTATGGCAGAATACTGGCAAATAAAATATATTCCTCTGTAAATGTGCCGCTTTGTAACATTTCTGCTAAACGTGGATACGCGATATTAGCCAGCGACGGGAAGGGCATAAGAAGAGTATTGAAAGCACATCCCACGGTAAGACTGACCAAACTCTGATTAACAAATGGTGACTCGCATTTCGACCGTTAATATTTGGATTATTAATTTTTCTATGTTGCCTGAAACGTGAAAAGGAATATTAGAGATCATGGGAGGCTATAATTGTACAATTAGAAATTTTGCAGAAAGCAATTCTGCCGATTGAATTAGTTATCAATTATAAGTTAGTCAGAAAACTCAGTAGTCCGTCAAGCTAAATCTTTATAAGACTCCGTTTCTTTTCCAGTTCGCAGAGATTTCGATCATACCTGGCACCTGCGTGCGAGTGAGAAGTGGAGAACCCATACCTAATGGTAAAAACAATACAACTGCGAATTACTCTTCTAATAATGAAGGATTAATTACTGCTTTTATACGCGATTGCAGGAGCAACGGCAGTTGTAACATTAGAGAATACAAAGATATTGGAAGAATACAGCCATAATGACGATGATTATTTTAATATCGACGACAAAGAATACCAAATTGAAGTTTTAGTAGCCCTAAAAAAAAACGAGAATATTAGGTATACAAAGGCAGTCCGTTTATTGTATGCTGCTCAAAGTACGTTTTGTTCCATTATCACGAAGTAATTCATTTATTTTCGAAGAAACGCTAGCTGCGAGATGCAACGCGCCCAATGCATTTGCAATAAATTCGCTCGTATCGGATTAGCGGAACTGGGCATTTTGACATTATGTGACATAAATTCAGTTCCAGTCATTCAAATTCCATCTGTAGGTCTGCTATCTATCAGTAGCGAATTGAAAGAGCCTGGAAACACATTAATTCTAGGACGCATCTACGACTGCAACAGGATAATTGTGTCCTCGTTATTGAAGAAGAATAATTATGATCCGGAGGACTTAGGAATTTCTGCTCACAAGTAAATGTAATCGAAATTTATTGTGATTCTTCTAATCACTATAAGACACGATTTGGTTTATGAATAATTAACATGGTTGCAGCTCTTAATTAATTTAATGATCACGCTCTCGTAGGTTGGATGATATGGTCAATAAAATTAAGAACGCTTTAGACAAAGTGGATATACTCGTAATAATGGGCCATACAAATGACAAAGATCTATTGAAGCCTATCTTAAAGGCATATTTTAACGCAATGATACATTTCGGTATTTTTTCTTCTTATATTAATCATTGATTAATATCCTATGATAACACATTTTTTGCTCAAGGATTCTTTTTTTTAGGTCGCGTGGAGATGAAACCAGGAAAATCGACAATGTTTGCAACGTGCACGTTCAAACATAAAATGAAGTTTTTCCTATGCATGTCGGCAAATCCCACAACTGTTTCCGTTGTCAGGCATGTATTGTTTCTGCCATTTCCGAACGAAATGTATTGCAGTTACTTGACAAAGCCAATTAGCATACAGGCTTGCGTAAGACTTGGGTTCTTGCATCTCATATACAGGAAGAGACGTATTCATTGATACTTACTGTTATAACTTTATAGATAAATACAAAACACGAGCTGCATTCGCGTCCGAAATTTTCCTGGACAACATTACGCTGGATGGAGACAGAAATGTTTCCGAGAACTTACTGCTTACAAAATCAATATCAAAATGTAATGAACTATCAAAAGGATAATGCGCTTCTAAAGTTGCCATCGTGTTCGCCAAATCAGCCGATATTAGATGCAGCATTCGTACCAACGATGTTTCTCGGCTGAAAAATCTAAGATATTCCTGATCGACTAGTAGGACATTTGCATACATTTGCGTTATTTAGTTATATATAATTATTTAATTGTAATTGTAACTAAACTGTTACATTTAAACTACATTTCAATTAAGATCTAAATGAAGTAATTACGCTGTATAAAAAAAACAAGCGTACACGGAAAAAATTTTATATTTAAAATTACTATAATGTGATAGTAGCTGCGGTCTTCATGTAAATTATAAGTTTAAATGCTATAGTTATTTTTTTAAAAACAATAATGTAACATAATTTTTACACTTTTTCATAGTAAAAATTTTTTATTACAAAATCAAATATACCTAGCAAATTTTGTTTGCGTACCATAGTAAAAATTAACTGTTTTCATGTTAGAATATGGCTTAACAAAATAATTACTTTATTTATGTGATAAAAATTAGTATTACCATAGTAAAAGTTAAGTCGGAATCATGTTGAGAATCCATCGAAAATACAAGACATAGTAAAGTGTAATTTAAAATTGTGTATTAAAACTTAATATAAAATTTTCTCCGTGTATAAGCAAAAGGGTAGCACCCAGTTAGACACGGCTCAATTGGACGCAAGCCACTCACAGCGCTTGAGACTACAAAGCTCCTTAGCACCGGTCGCTGTGATTGGTGATGTCCAATCGAGCCGTGGTCAATCGGGATCACCCCTAAGTAAAATATACGATTGGTAAGAAGAAATTAAAGATTATTTCATCGGTAATCATATCGGTTCATACATTGATAAATAGGAAGAAAATTTTTTTTTAGAAAAAATATCGAGATATCGAATGCTTGTTTCAGCTTTCTTCTATCTCTATTATTTCATAATTTAATTGTAGAAATCGCGCAAACTAGAGTCCTATTAAAAACCTATTTAAATTATTTATTTTTAATTTAAAATAATTTCTTTTTCCAAATTGAGGAATACAATTGGTTTTTGTTTATTTTTACTTTCTTTATTTAATTTGCAAGAAATCATTCTAGAATAATTCATATGAACTTTAATTTTTTGGAATTATATACATATATTATATACTACTCTCTTTTACTTATAGATTGTAATGGTAATATTATATATATATATATCCCTGTATATATATATATAT